TGCTACCACTGTGCACGGGCTGGCCCAGTGTATTTTCACTATTCAGATTCTGAAGCCCTACCAAGTGAAAATTTCCGAAGACACTACATATAACAATGTCATGCTCCCACTTAAAAGAAATATCACATTAAAATTCCCATCAGAACATAGATGACTCCCTACGTATAAAGGTTCAATGTAAGATTTTTCAACTTTACAATGGTGCAAAATACATGTCCCATAGAAGCCATACGTTGAGTATCCTGTACAACCATTCTGTTTTTAATTTTCAGTACCGTGTTCGACAGATTACATAAGATATTTAACACTTAATCATAAAATAGCTTCACACTTAATCATAAAATAGCTTCGTGTTAGATGATTTTGCTCACTGTGGTCATATTTAACTGTCTAGAGAATACGTACGGTAGACTAGGCTAAGCAATGTTGTTCAATATGTTAGGTAATTAAGTGTATTTTTTTCCTTGCAATATTTTCTACTTACAATGAATTTATAGGGACGTAATCCCTGTTCAGTCAGAGAGCATCTACACAGTGGAGCAATTCTAACAACTTATACAGTCAATGTAGAAAGGAAAGGAAATTAGTATTAACTTCACTGAAACATTCAGCAAGATTTACGTCAGAAACTAACACACATCACTGACAACACACTGAGTACACATGTTATGAAATATTACGAAGAAGCTTTTTCAAATAGGCTGCTGGCGGCTGGCTGACATCAGAGTGGTAAAACGTGACACTCTGAGAGGCTGACCCACAGGGGAAAGGGTTCACATCCAGAGACCTGAGTGTGTCCCCGTGACCTGAGTGAGGCTGGCAGTGGCCAAGGGAGGATCTATCTTTTTTTTTTTTAAAGATTTTATTTATTTAACTTAATTAATTAATTTATTTTCATTTGATCAGAGAGGGACAGAGTGAGCAAGAGAGAGAGAGAGATAGGGAAAGCAAGAAAGCAAGCTGCCAGGTCCAGGACTTGAACTGTGGTTGGCATTGTGGGAGTCCAGTGCCCTTAACCACCATGCTACCTGCTGGCCCCGTGGATCTACTTTTATAGTATGTATTTAGCAATATACGTAGGAAAGAAAAAGTTGAACAAAACTAAAGTTCAATTTTATCCTGTGAATGATCTTTGCAGCCAAATAATTTTTCTTTCTTAGGCTACTGGGCGCATGTACTCACCGGGAAGTGAGAAAGCACTCCCCAGGGGGGATGGCCATCCAATAACCCCACGCCCTCCATTCTCCTGTCTGGATTTTGAGCACATATGCACACATGTCTGGTGCAATTTCCAAGCTAATTGGTCTGGGACTCAAACTGCACTGCTGGCCGTGTGAGATCCAACTGTCTTAACCACCCTGCCACTTGCTGGCCCCCAATAAATCTTAAGCATTAATAAAAAAAAGCTAATTCCTAAATTTCAGATAATTTCCTCTTCAGCAGTTTAAAAAACTCATCAGTCTCTTTCAAAAAAATTCTCCTCTGCAGTCCTAATTACCATGTACCTCACAGACCCCTACAGTTAAACTTGAACCTAATCTTAGAGTCGTGTTTCTTACTACTGGGCCATGGGTTACACCTCAAATGACAGAGCCAGGTGGTGGCACAGTGGGAAGGCGACTGGACCCTCACGGCAAAGGCCCTGGGTTTGCAGTTGGGGACCCTCTGAGTACTCTGTGTGTGTGAGCCCGTGATGCAGGCTGGCCGAGACTGAGGGCCGGTCATTGTCAGAGGCCTTGTTGGGGGTGCTGCTTCTCTCTCTCTTTTGCTTATGGAAAAAAAAACAAAACTTAAAGGCAAAAGTTATCTTCCTGGCCCAGGCAACAAGAAGCTAGTGCTAATCATGATTTTAGATTTAACAAATTAACACAAGGATTACTCTTGGCATTTAATCTGGGGACTCGGTAGCTTCAGGGCTGGATTTTTGAGAAGTGTCAGCAGATGGCACGGTGCTTAAGATGGTGGATTCCCACATGGCAGACCGTGGTCTGAGTCGTGGACCCACTGACTTGAAAATCGTGGAGATTGCATGAGAGCCCAAAATCCAAGAGGAGAATGGAGAAGGGATTGTGGTGAGGCCATCTCCCATGGAGGGCCATTTCTCACTCCCCCCCCCCTGGTGAGGGCGCATGCCCTATGGCAAAACCTGAAAAAAAAAAAAAGAGAAAGAAATGAACTGATAAAAAAAATGTTTAAATAGTCTACAAGTCAACAAGAGGGAAATGAATGGACAGGAATTTTCCAAAATATTTATAGTTTTACCTATAGGCTGTGCAGTTTGTGATGAGGGTATGATTTTTCTTTTCTTATGTACACAGTCTTCTCTTTTTTCAAAAAGAATTGTTTTATTTATTAATTATATTATTATTATTATTTCACATGAATTTTGCCAGAGAAAGACACACACACAGAGAGAGAGAGAGAGAGAGAGAGATCAAGCCACCAGATCAGATCCAGGACTCGAACCATGGCTGACCCTGTGGGAATTCCAACACCTTAACCACCATGCCACCTGCTGGCCCCTGTATACAGTCTTTTCTTCTGTATGTATTTCCTGTATTATACAGACCTTCCATAACTACATATTGTACTTATAATAGTGTATTTTGGAGCTGGCTGGGGGTGGTGTAGTGGTTAATGCAGCTGGATCCCACATCCGTGGTTCAAGTCCCAAACCTGGTGACTTGAAAAACTATGCCAGGTGCATGTGTTTGCATACCCAAAATCCCAAGAGGAGAATGGATGAGAAAGGACTGTAGTGTGGTACCCCAGGGAGTGCTTTCACACTTTTCTCTCTCGCTGTCTCTCAGTGAATATATGCACTCCATAGCAAATTTTTTAAAAAGTGTACTGTAAAATTTTTTCATAGAAAATATAGAAATGAATGAAAAATAGAAAAAAAAATAAAAAATAAAATGGCATGTAACAATTTGTTTTTGCTATATGGTATAATGTAGATATTTCAATATTTTTGAAACATTAACTGAGATAAACATATAATTCTTAAGAAAATTACATCTGAAATATTTAAGTAACATTCTAGAGAAGTAAGCTATAAATAAAAGATAGGAGTAACAAACTGAGATGCTGCCTAAAAAAAAGCCAGGTATAAGGGTGTGTGTCTATAGTCCTGGCTGGGAGGCTGAGGACTTCAAAATAATATACAGTGTATTCTGGATGGAAAAATCTCATTTTGTATGCTATAATGATGTATAGTAAATGAATGTAAATAAATTTAAATTTAAAAAATAAAAGAAAAAAGAAAAAACTTAAAGATATATATATATTTTTTAAATAAATAAATAAAGGGGCAGGTGGCGTGGTGGTTAAGGCACTGGATTCTGACATGGCCAACGGTGGTTTGAGTCTCTGACC